AAAATTCGATGTTAAAAAAATTCAGTGTTTAAAATTCGATGTTAAAAAAATTCAGTGTTTAAAATTCGATGTTAAAAAAATTCAGTGTTTAAAATTCGATGTTAAAAAACTTCAGTGTTTAAAATTCTGTGTTATAAAAAATTCAGTGTTTAAAATTCGGTGTTAAAAAACTTCAGTGTTTAAAATTCGTTGTTAAAAAACTTCAGTGTTTAAAATTCAGTGTTAAAAAAATTTAGTGTTTAAAATTTGATGTTAAAAAAATTCAGTGTTTAAAATTCGATGTTAAAAAAATTCTGTGTTTAAAATTCGATGTTAAAAAAATTCTGTGTTTAAAATTCGGTGTTATAAAAATTCAGTGTTTAAAATTCGGTGTTAAAAAAAGGCAGATTCCAATGAGACTGTTTTTCTTCTAAACTAAATGTTCTAGATCAATTGAAAGCAGATTTACTGATTACTAAAATAATAATGTTATCATAATGTTTAACTGTCAGTGTTTCTGTTGACCAGAGGTTTCTCCTCAAAGCACAGCGCATTGCTTATTAATAAGGAACGTACTGTGACTTTAAATAAATCCATTAGCTCTATAGATTTGATAAAAATGCAGTTAACGCTATCTGCAAAAGGATTAAACCTCATTTGTTTAGACTAAACATAAACTCCTGAACAAACTTTTCTTTTCAGGTTTAATTGTTTTAGTTTTATAAACAAACTTTTTTGCTGCATATAACCTATTTAAGTCTTTCACCACGTATAATGTTGTCTATAAGTTAAACAGTAGATCTTAGCTGGGATCTTATTCCTGTTCGTTCCACTTTCTTACATTTCCTCTCTCTGCACAAAGAGTAACATATAATTAAATCAAAACGAGTGCCATCTTGATTGAAAGTGTTTTATTCTATAACGTTTATATAACACCTATATATTGTATTTAGGGCTGCAACTAACGATTATTTAGCAAATCAATTTATCTGTCCACAATTTTTTTGATTGACTGATTAATAACCAAATAGCAAAAGGTTCTTTAAGGAAGATTTTAATCAAATTAAATCAGGTGAAACTAAAACTTCTGGATAGAGCAGACAGACCAACGAAATTTTTTTTTAAAATCTTAAACGCAAAATGTAGATATTTTTTAGTTTTTTTTTAAATAATATTCATTCAGCTAAATTTATGTTTTAGACTCTCTATATGGTAGCTAACGGTTAATCAGTTACTAAATTAGTTGACGATTATTTTAATAATTGATTAATTACGATTAATCCAATTGTTTCAGCCCTACTGACATAAAATCATGTTCAGGTGGGACCAAATAGGAACAATAATCTATTTTTTTGTTTATTTTATTAAAACATTTTTT